AAAGTTACCCTATTGGGAAATTTTGGAGTTTTCCATAGGCTTCAATATATCTTTTTCAAATTAAGCCCTAGAACTTCTCTAATGCATCCTAATCACTATTAGGAGCACATTAGAATCAAGCCTAGACCTTGGTCAAGCCTAGACCTTGGTCAAGCCTAGTTGACCAGGTCACCCTTTTAACCAAAATACCCCTTAAGGATGTGAATAATCATTTCAAACCAATTGAAATTCAAATTACTTTTAACCACTTCCAGTAATTTTCAAATATCAAGCCAAATCAGTTAGATCAAATCCCAATCTCTATTTTGACTTATTAAGCCCTTTAGGGGTCTAAATGGTTATGTTCACCAAATGACTTCCCTAGACTCCAGAATCACCTCCACTAGACTCCAAATATCCAATCAAACCCATTGAGCTTAAACCTATGTCATGAGTCAGCCAAGGTTGACCTAATGATCCCTTAAGGTTCTAAATGGGTTAGTCCAACCCATTTAATCAAATCAAGCCCTTTAAACTCTCAAGCTCACTTCGATGATTGATTTTATCATATATAAATCATTGGGAGTAAAATTATATAGGTTTGACTTGGTCAAGCTTCATTGAATTTATCAAGCCTTATATTTAATATATACATTTACTCAAAATCTAGCCTCAATGCTTTTAAAATCCTTGAATTTAGTCCATTTCATACTTTGAATATTTTTTAGCGTGCCATGAGCCAAGTCAGGTCAATTTGACTAAGTCAACTTGCTCTAGCTTGGTCAAAGTCCAACATACACATATGTAATTCATCCAAACTTCAAACAAATTCTTATATTCAATCTTTGCTTGTTTAGATTGCACACACTCGCACTTAGCTTAGGCTCTCTTATATTTAGGAGTTGTGTGTGGTTGTGCATTTACATGTTTATACAAGGTTAGTGACGTTGATTCAAGTCCACTTAAACTAGTGGCATCATTAAGGATCATAATTAAGGATCTATCTAAAAAACTTATAATAATTCTAAAGATTAGGATACGCATCCTCTTGACTTAAAACTTTAAACACTTGAACTTAGTGACACATACAACCCATAAAAAAATATTAACTGATTTTAAAAATCATTAAGATAATTAATTAATTACTTCTTTAATTAAATCAAAAATTAGTCAAAATTAAAAAGTCAAGAATCCGATCAAACTTTAGTAAAAAGCAAGTCCAAACTTCAAATCTTTATAATAAAATGTAGAAAAATCCAAATCTAACATACTTATAATCTAACTAATTGTATTAAGGTTTAATATTTTATTAAAATAGTAACTTTCTAGAATTTAAGTTTAATTAAAAAGTCAAAATTTGACTCTTTCAATTAAATATATTAAATAATTCAAATAATTCCAAAAAAATAAATAATTAATTTAAAAATCCAAAAAACCTTAATCAAACTTTAAAACCAGTAATCAATCAATTTTAATTAAAATACATCAACTTTTAAACCTTAAATCAAATTAAATCATTTAATCATATCGATTACTACTAGGTAACTCAGGCGTACGAGGCTATTGACTTAGCCTCAATGAAGGTGAAATAAACTTTATGGCCTTGATTTAACAAAGGTAGTAATTACCCAAGTTTTAAAATACATCATAAAATTAATTTTAAGTAAATAAGATTTAAAGTTTAATTAAAATTTTTCTTAAGCCTCTCAGCCAACTAGAACCTTAAACAACTTCAATTAAATATCATATATAGGACATAACCAAATCACACAACCTTTTACACACACTTTAAATGGTTTGCTAGGACAATCAGTCCAAGTTATAGGCTAGGCCAGTGTTTACTTTTCTACTATATGCTAGGTTTTTGAGTTTTCATTACATTTTGGTTGTTAATTTTTATTGATTGATTATTTACTTAATTTTTGTACTCTATGATGTGATTGATTGTACGTTAGATCTACCCCTATGTTTGGAATAATTTATATTAACTAAATCTTATGCAGGTGGTTATGCTCATACGTGGCACTTATTAAAGGGGGCAAAACAATAATTAAACTTTTAAAGTTAATGATGTTTTATGCAGGCGCTTCAGAAATTGATAAGCCCCATTTAATATTAAAAGAGCATGGCCAATTTTAGCTGTGATTTAAGCAATTTAATTTTGATAAATATAACTGCTTGAGATTTTAAATTTGATTATAACTACTTAGGATAACCGTACATGTTAAGTTTGAGTTTAGAATTTTATATTTTAAAATGTAAATTTATTTAGCATTGAGTTGTGCTTTCAAAAGTGACATTTGAGATGGGGTGGCTGCCAATTTGGAATCCAAAGAGGAAGGGACATCCATTAGGGGAGAGTCCCTCTACATTTGGAGATCCAAATTAGGATAATTTAAAAATATCCAAAGAGAAAAGATAATATCCCTTTCGAAGGGGAGTTCTTTTCATTTGGATATCCGATCTAAGGAGCCACAGAAGGACAAAGAAGTGGATAACGGGAATACCCATTCTCAAAATCACTTGAGTCTTAGAAGTAGAATCCGAGTTGTTTTTAGTGGTGTCCAACCACTTTACTTTTCCTACATACCCTAATTTGTAATATTAAGTGGCACTTGCCACATGTACTTTAAATTTAACATTAATTTAATTTAATTTAATTATTTATTTATTGATGTGTTGATTACGATATAGGATTTTCTGCTTTTATTATTTTTTTGGCGATTCTTGCATGCTAATTTTAATTTAGCGTGGAATTCGATCGGAGGCTCGTGAGGGTATGAATAAACTATTTCTACTTTAATCAAAATTAAAATTTTTAAGATAGCCTAGAAAGTAATGATTTTAAGAAGTAAGCCCGAGATTTTCGGGAGTTCTCATACACCCTTAACTGGCCAGACTCATGAAATAAAAAAAGTAAAAAGAAAATAAAAAATGCAGACACTATTGAAAGACATCATATTCTAGCCAAACTTGAGTCTTTATCACTCTTGAGCAGGTGTATAATGTACCTAAAATGTTAGTATGCACAATGAAACAATATCCAATATATATTGTATGAGAACTAAAAAAGTTCAATCAATAATGTTTGTTATCATTAAAATCACAAGATAGGGATCCTGGATTATAACAGATGTTCATTTATTTAAATAACTGAAAAATCAATAGAAATTAATCTTAGTGGAAATTTTATGACTGCTTTCTTCATTATGACTTTTAAACTATAGTGGAGCCCCTAGTAATTTATCCATGCTTTTTTAAGCTTAATAACGAACGTGTGGCAATCATTTGTAACATATGCGTACATGTATAGTTTCAACTATATATATGTAGAATGTTATTTCTTCTTTTTAAGTTTGTTTAGAAGAAATGTACTTTGTTGTGTGTAAAGAGGTTAAAATCACTTGTCAGAGTTAAATCAATCTGTTGTAAAGAGGTTTAAGGTTAAGCTTTCGTATTATTATGTTTATTTTATTAATTTTTAATAATATTACTATTCATTTCGTCACTCGATTCGATCCCGATACTACTGGTCGAACTGTGAACCTCTCATCCTTCTAGTTCGTTGTTCAGTCCAATTTTCACATTCTTGAATATAGCATAATAGAATTAAACATATAGTGCACTTAAACATCTCCTATATTAACACATCAGCATGACATGATATGCATATGCAGATATTAACACTAGAACATGTTTGACTTGCCACATGTATTTTATTTCAGGGGATAAAACTTTTATAATTTGCATGCATATTTAACATTTGTCATTTGAAAAATCGTTCAAAACAATTCTTAAAAATATGATTTTAAAGCTTTTAATGAACAGTAGCAAATGCTAGAAATGTCATATTCAAAATTAAATACTCAGAAATTTGTACTAACAAAAAAATGGGGGAAAAATAATTTCTTATACTTAAACTGATCAGAATGAGACATTCTATAATATATTAAAACTACAAGTGAAAATTTTCTAAAGTAGTCATGCTTTTTTCCATAACTTTTCGAACAAAAAATTAAAGTTGAAATTAGAAATGAGGTATTTGGAGCCTATCTCATGCTTCACAATTTCATTAACAGATCCGCCGAATGAATTTTGCACTTTTGACTTCGAAACCATGTCTTTTTTTCTTTTTCATCTACCTTCTTTCCTTCTCCAGCAAACTGAGACATGAAATGAGGAATTAGAAGTTGAATTTGGATATTTGTGTATAAAAACTAATTTTAGTGTTCAACATCACGACAGGCGAACGTTCAACATCACTGTGCTCGATCGGAATATTCTAGATATGGCAGAAAGATAATTTATTGCTGCAGTGCTCCCTCTTTAGCACTGTAGGATTCTCCTTCCCTCCAAAATGAGGGCTCCGCCACAACTTCATCAAGATCAGTGCTATAGGGGTCCCAATGACTTTTTGACACTTAGGCTTCATTTGAGACGGTTTTTTTATTGCTTTATAAAACGGAGTTTTAATAAAAAAATAAAAAAATTTGTACTAAAACTCCATTTTAGAAAGCAATAAAAAAGCCGTCCCAAACGAAGCCTTAATATTTTTTTTATTTTTAGACTTCAAAACTTCCTTATATTTATAATAACTTTGGATTAAAATAAACATAAATAGGTTATGAAATTATTACCAATTATGTAGCAAGAAAAGTGAAATGTCAAAATTAATTTAGGATCGAGAGAGTTTTCTTTTCTCTAATTAACACCACATGGACGGAGTAGTTATAGATTTTTCATTCTTAAGTTTTACGATAAAAGATTTATCATTAGTCCATCAAAACTTTAACAAAAAATGCAGTTGTTCATTTTCATTAATTGATTTGACTTGCTGACCATTAATTGGGTCTAAGTCTTGCTAGTCGTTATTTCCACTATCCTAATAAGCTGGACTTTTCAAAACTTGGAATTCCAAACCATATCAAATACCTCTTTTCTTATTGGCCACATAAAATTAGTCATCGTCGTTTTTTTCTTCAAAGCCTACCCTGATCCATAATAAGTCTTTTGTTTAATACAATTGACCAGTAGAGTCTTTTCGGTGGAATAGTCAAGTTTAGAAGCTGTAATTAATGAATTAAATGCTGTTTAAAAACTGCATTTGCAAGATGGGCTACGTTGTTGTTCCCAATTCGCCCTTCTTGCAATGCCTTGGTACCATCTTCTCCTGCTTGGGATCTTCCCAATAGCCTATGCCCTCTCCAATGACTGCCCTTCCCCCATGTGTGGAGATATGGAGATCAAATTCCCTTTTACTCTTGAAAGCAGCTCCAATAGTTGCAGGACAGCAGGAGCAAGTGCGAATCTGTCCTGCTCCTCCACCAACGAGACAATTATCACCCTCCCTTCTTCAGAATCTTACAGAGTAACATCTATTGACTATGATAATTATTATGGGATCTTTATTCAAGTTCTTCTATCATCTTCTTCGATTAATTGCCCATGGAGAAAAGGTATCCGAAATCTGCCTAACGTCAACGGCTCAATTTTCACTGTAGCTGTATCAGGTTTTGTTCTTCTGAACTGCACAACCAAGCTAAGTTGGAGAACTGGCTATGATAACATAGTTGGGCCAATCTCTTGCCTCAGTGAACCAGGTTCTTTTGTTTATGCTCTTACTAAATATGTGAGAATGGGCATACTTCCTTCTTCATGCATCGAAATATATACCGGCGAATTTCTTTCTGATTCTTTTGGTCAATCGATACAAGTAATAGCATCGAAGAGCATGCAAGGAGAAACGGCTTCTTTGTATCCGAATGTAGTTGATAATTTTCGGGCTTGTTATTCATGTTCAAGTCAAGGCAAAAAATGTGGATATAATATCCGAATGGATAAAAAATTTTGTTATTCAGAGGATTCTCACCATGGTGAGTTTGTATCTATCTGAATCTTCTGTTTAATTTTTTTGCGTCGAGAGATGAATTGCATCTTTTCTTTTCTGTTCTTTTTTTTTGTAAGGAATTAATATTATAAACTTCTTATTTTCTCTATAGTTTATTTATATGTTTAAGACAATCAACAGCCACAGATCCTATTTTTAGTTTAATGATAAAATTTTTAGGGGAAAAAAAAAAAAGAAATCAAAGAGAAACCATGAAATCATTTATATATATATGGCACCCAATGAGAACCAATAATCATATAGGAATAGAAAATTTATTTTAACTAGATAAAACTTTCATGGAAAAAGGTAATTAGCAATCATATTTAGAAGGTTACGGCAGAGATATTTTCATGCAAAATTCTCTCTTCTATCATAGCAAAGAAAAATAAGTTCCAAACATGTTTTATTACTCTTATCTTCAAATTTATGTTACTTTTATTAATTTTGGCTTAACAAACTAATATTTTGTCCATGTATGTTTTTCCAAGGTTTACATCTGATCGTTGTAGATATTTGGAGCAATCACATTTTTTTTTTTTCAGTTTTGCTCGGACTTCCAACCTAAATTTCTTTTAAAAGGGTTATATGCCTAAAATTTTGCAAAATTTTGGAATCGTGGTGCTTATAAATAGGAAAGTTGCACTAATGAATGTTAACATTTTCTTTTTTGCAGGCATTGCCATTTGTACATCACTTGTGATTTTTCTAATTGTAGCTCTTGTGGTTCTCTACTATTTCAAAAAATATAGAAATAAAAAACAAAAGCACATAAAGGTGGAAAAATTTCTTGCAACCTACAAGTCCACAACACTAACTCGATACAATTTCGCTGATATTAAAAAAATGACAAAGAAATTTAAGCATAAGCTGGGCCAAGGAGGGTTTGGAAGTGTCTACAAAGGTGAGCTGACTAATGGAATTCCTGTAGCTGTTAAATTACTAGAAGCATCAAAATTCAATGGAGATGATTTTGTCAACGAAGTTGCCACAATAGGAAAAATTCACCATGTCAATGTAGTTCGTCTCTTGGGGTTCTGCTCAAATGGAACTAACAGAGCCCTTGTGTATGAGTTTATGCCAAATAACTCATTGGAAAAGTATATTTTCTTGGGTCAATCAGAGAAGAGACATGACTTTTTTACTATGGAGAAGTTGCATGAGATTGCAATTGGCATTGCCCAAGGGATTAATTATTTGCACCAAGGATGCAATCAAAGAATTGTTCACTTTGACATCAAACCCCATAATATTTTGTTAGATTATGACTTCAATCCAAAAATTTCAGATTTCGGCTTGGCCAAGCTATGCTCTAGAGATCAAAGCATTGTGATAATAAGTGCTGCAAGAGGCACCATGGGATACATAGCACCAGAGGTCTACTCTAGAAACTTTGGACCTGTCTCTCATAAATCTGATGTGTATAGTTATGGAATGCTTCTGTTAGAAATGATTGGTAGGAGGAAAAATATTGATCCTACAATTGAGAACCTCAGTGAAATTTATTTTCCAGAGTGGATATATAACAAGTTGGTCCATAGTAATAGCTTGGGATTAGCTTTGGAAATGGAGGGAAATGAAGAAATTATGAAAAGGCTTGCCATAATAGCACTTTGGTGCATACAGTGGAATCCTGCAGAACGTCCATCAATGAGAAAAGTTGTTCAAATGCTCACAATGATCTTTCAAAGCTTGGAGATGCCCCCAACACCATTTGTTCCTTCCTCTGATCAATCAGACAATGTTTATGTCTCAAGAAATCATAAAAAAAAAAATTGAAGGTCTGCATCTCAACCAATTATGAGGAAATTTTGAAGGATTAATTAATTAGTTTCATATTTTGGTGCATTCAATCTGTCTTTGTTGTTATTTTAATTATTTTTTACTAAATGTGTTTTAAAACATTTTATTTTGATGAAGAAATTTATGTTGATTTCTCATGAATTTCTTATTGATGATATCAATCAAGTAATACATGTCAATATTCTACTTAGATAACATTAAGATACTGCATGATACAATCTGTTGGTTGCATGAGCTAATGAAGTGATATGCTTGCTTAAATTATAGCAAATATATGTTATGTTGTACAATATTGAAATTAAGTTCTTGAAAGATTTTTTGGATGCAAGGATCTAATGCATTTTTTGATCTAATGCATGAATTGGTTAAATTTAAAGACTTAGGTTTGTTTGGAAAGGCCATAGTATATATTTTATAAAGGAAGTTGAAAATTTGTTGTGGGAGAAGCAAATTTTTTGAAAGTTATTATAAAAAGTAGATTCCTTGCATGAAAATTTCTTCAAATTAACAAAAATATAGTATGCAAGTAGCAACTTTCACTATGTTCTAAAAAAATAAAGTGGTAAGAAGGTCATCACAAATAGACACTTAGCTTTGTTTTGAAGAGCTATTCAATTGCATTCATGTAGGGGTATAAGTGAGCCAAGCTAGTTCATTCGTTGACTATGGTTTCTTTGACCATCATTATATGTTGATTATAGTCTTTTCCGACCACCATCACCTAACTACGGTCATTTTTGTTGCAACCCAAGAATCAAGATTGAGCTTGTTATTTTGATGACAATAAAACTAATTATTGTGCTGATAATTTTATTATTTCTACTAGCATATCTTGGATATTTTTATTTACTTATTTTAGTGTTTACTAACATTTCAGGAAAATCATATTCAAAATTGTTGACGACTTCAAGATAGAGTAGAATAGGGTTTCATGTAATAGAGTTAGTATAGCTCTATTTTTATTTATTAAGTGTGAGCGAATATGATTGTAATTGGGTAACTGTGCACACACACACTGGAGAGATAGAGAGAGAGATAGTTAAAACTTAAAATTTTAACACTAATTGTACTATACGATATTTAATCGTATTGTACAATTTGACTTAGTTTTCCTCCAAACACAGTTCATCAAATCATGGCTTGAATTATTTGAACTAGTCATACAGTACGATGTCATGTCATACAGACGACTGACAGAGTATGAAATTTCTTTTGTATGATATCGTACCAGATGAACTTGTTCAATTTTAAATAATTCATACAGTATGATCCGAATTCGTACAACGACTAACAGAGTATGAAATTTTTTTCATAGCATATTGTATAAGGCGAACATGTTCATTTTTTAATAGTTCATATAATACGATCTTCATTCGTACAGACGTCTAATAGAGTATGAAATAAGGTTCATACCAAATCGTACTAAATGAAAGGCATGATTTTTTGAACTATTTGCCCCATAGGATATACGATCGTACCGTACAATTGTAGGATGGATCTCTTGTAAATTTCAAATTTTGGATGGTTTTTCATGGGTTTTCTATAAATTAAGTCCTAAAAATTGACTGAGAAAATCCTTTGTTGTAAACTTTTTTTGAGAGTGACCATTGAGAGTGTGTTTGGGAAAATTTTTGTGAGTGAAGAGTGAGATATCTAATGAAGGGAAATTGTGAGAGATTCATAAGGTTGCCTAAGGTAAGGATCTTTTTTTGTCTTCTTCTTTAAGTTTCTTCTCGACTTCTTTGGATGCTCTTGGGAGAAGATCTTCAATATTAGATCAAGGTACTTTGCCTTCACCTGGTGGATGAAAAAGGACGTGATGATTTTCCGCCTTCACCAGGAGGGTGAAAAATGATGTATCAATTCTATGCCTCACTAGGAGGGCGAAAAAGGATGTGATGGTACACTGTCATCACTTGGAAAGTGTAAAAAGCGTTGGTTCTCTGCCACACTAGGTTGGTGGATGAGAGTTTTTAAGAGCTTCTCCGTCTTATTGTGAGGGAAAAATGAGTGTCATTATTGTTTAGTGAAATACATGGAGAAGGACTTTCTAGGGAGTGGATATAGGTTGGGTTTGACCAAACCTCTATAAAATATGGTGTTCTTCTTGTGTTATTTATTTATTTTGCATTTTTATTTCTTATATTTAAATCTTTGTAGTTGAAAGATTGTGTGAAAATTATTTTACTAAGCAATCACATATTTGAGGATTATTGACCTAAATTTTTAAAAAGGTTTTCAAGAAAAATTTAAATAATCAATTCATCCCTCTCTTGGTTAGCATTGGGACAGTTCTATTAGGTTTAACAATATGCACGAACTTTTAATTGGTATTAGAGCATATTTTTATAAGTAAAACTCGATCATGGTGACTTTTGGAAACCGAAATACTCCTAAAGGAAATATGATTACTAGACCACCTATATTTGATAATATTCTATATGATTTTTGGAAAACTCACCTTTTTACTTTCTTACAATTACTTGACTATCGCATGTGGATATTATTATAGGAAGGTTATACCAGACTTACTAGACTTGTTGATGACATTAGACTTAAAAAGCATCATTTATTGATTGGACATTTAAGGAAAAAGAATTAGTACACTTGAATGCAAAATATTTAAACAATTTTTTATATGCTTTAAATTCAAAGGACTATATGCGTGTTTTTACCTGCAAAACTGGAAAAAATATCTAAGATAGATTTTGCATAACTTATGAAGAGACAAAAGAGGTGAAACAATCTAGGTTGTCTATTTTATTATATAACTACGAACTATTTTGCATGAAACCAGATGAGTCAATTTCTGATATGTATACACGGTTTACACATATTGTTACCTCATTGCATGCTTAAGGTAGAGAACTCACAAATTTTGAAAAAAATTAATAAAATTTTACGTTGTTTACTTACTGCTTATAATGCAAAGATAACTGCCATAATTGAGTCTAAAGACTTGAAAATGTGTATTCTATTGAAAATATTCTTTGATCACTGATTGATTATGAGTAAGGAGTGAATAAAAGATAGATTGACACAGTTGATAAGTGGAAAGAAAAGAATATAGCCTTGAAAGTTGAGAATTTAGAAAGTGATCAATCAATACCACAGGATGAAGAAGATATTGCATTGATGACAAGACAATTCAAAAGTTTCCTTAAGAGAAAGCAAAGAGGACATCAACATTGGAATAATGATATATTTAATAAGAATACAAATATTTCTAATGAAGCTATTTGTTATGAATATAGAAAGCCTGGATATATAAAGACTGAGTGCTCAAATATCAAAGCTAATATCCTAGTAAGGAGAAAGCTGAGGAGAAAACTAACATCATGAAGGGCAAGAAAAGGATGCAAAGTGCTTTTTGTATTGACTTTGTTTTAAACTCTTCAGAAATAAAAGTAGAAGAGGAGGTTACAAATCTAAGCTTAATGATAGATAACATTGATCATTCAGATTAAGAGGAGGTATGTGATCTATTTTATGATGAATTATTTGAAGTTTCAAAGAAAATTCATAATGCATATAAGAAATTCAAAAAATTAAGTGTAAACCTTATTATTGAGCATTTGAATTTACAAAAAGTGTATGAAAACATTAGAAAAGTTTATGATGTTATAGATATCAGTCACATGGCTTTGCTAGATAAATTTGATAATTTGAATAAGAAGCATGATTTATTAAAAATATCTTATAATAAACTTAATAATAATTTTAAGGTATTTATGGCTGAATTATATTAAAGAGAACATGAGTTAAAAGTTAAAAATTCTGTTTTAGAAAGTGAAAACTCATATCTTAAAGTAAAATTTGAAAGCTTTTAAGGAAGATAAGACACCTCCCACACTTGAATAATTTTACCATCCTGATTTAAAGTGTACAATTTCAAAATTTAGGAAAGGTATTATAATTCACATAGATTGATAAATTCTTTTCTTGAAGTTAAATTATTTTCATTTGGAATGATGAGGCATATTTCCCACACTTATATTACTTATCGTATAACACATTTAGTGTGGAGATCTAAGCTGCATCAATCACAACATATCAAACATGAATATGAATTTATTTGGGTTCCCAAGATGAACCTTTGATAATTTTATAGAAACACTCTCATATAAGCCCTCGTGAGTACATTAGTTGTTGATCCTTGTTGAATCATAATTAGGTTGTTAAACCTAAGTTAATGTCCCAAGGCTAACCAAGAGGGGGAGGGGGTGATTGGTAATTTAAAAAATTAACCTTCTTGGATTTTAAAAGAAACCGATTAATGATTCATAGCAAGTTAATTTTAAAATTTTCAAAATAATTTTTCAACCACGTAAATAATAACTTGCAGTAAGTAAGTAAACAAGAAGCAGAAATAAAAGACACAAAGATTTATAGTAATTCGGTCAAACACAACCAACATTCACTCCCTGAAGCCTCCCACTTCAGGTATTGCACTATTACCAGAGTGACTCTTATTTTGCTCCCACAGCAAGGCAGAGAAGCCTTCACAAAAACTCTCTTCTACCAATCCCCGGTGCGGTAGAGAACCATCATCCTTTCACACCCTCCAAGTGTCAGGAGAGAATTGTCATCCTTTCACACCCTCCAAGTATATATAGAGAACATTCAGCTTTTCACACTCTCCAAGTATCAGCAGAGAACCTTTGGCTGTTCACACTCTCTAAGTGACAGTAGAGAACCAAATTTTCTTGAAAGATCTTCACTTGAATAATCTAGAAAGATGAGAGAAAAAGTCAAGAAACATAAACTACACACAAAGATCCTTACATTTGAGTAATCTCGTGAACCCTTCATGCTCCACTAGAAAGAAATCTCTCTTAAACACTCTCTCACACTCTCTTCTTTAATTGACCTTTACAAATCACGAAGACCAAATGATAAAAAGGCCTTTGATAGTTTTTAGTGAATCTTTTATACAAAAGACACAAAAAACCGTCCAGAAAAAATGAACTTTCCAAATTTGACATCTACGATCATACTATACGATCGTATATTCATACATACGAGCAATTCAAATATTGT